ATTTATTATTGTTTTCGTAATATTCATTAACATTTTTGTGCTTTATTAGGTTATCACAATTAACTTGATTAAAATGCCCAAAAGAAAACAAATTATCGGCCGYTATACGCTAGAAGCAAAGAGTAATCTTTATCAGAGAAAATGATAAAAATGACAATGGGGGAACCAATAATTCACTACAGTCTTCTGGTGGTGTAAAGAAATGTCTGCATTTAGATAAGACGCTTCAATCACATATGAAGATGATTTCCATAATTGTATTGAAAATATAACTACGATTTGTAAGTTTTGCCAGACGGTGAAATGGGCTCTTGGAGCACTCRGTATTTGCTGTGCTGGAGGAAAAATTCTTTAGAAAGAAATCACTGATCCGCCAGAAACATTAAATGGTCTTATTRATAACACGGAAGTATAATTTGCTTTTCAAATGATGTCTTATGGTTTCACAGAAATAAGACATGGACATTTCATGCCTATATTTAAAATTCAAGGTAAGCCATAATATGCAGTTGGTTCACTAATACCAAGCATGAATGAAAAACCAAAACTTTTACAAATTTATTTCACGAGAAATGGAGAATTAGATAGACTATCCGTATGTCTTCACGCCAAGGGAGGTATTTTATATGGTTTGCAAGAACTTCTGCAAAGCGGCAATCCATATGTATAAGGTTTTAAATATGTTATTGAAACATTATCATCGAACTCTACTGACTTCAAAGTGATCATTAGAATCGATCAAAAACCATTAAACAAGCTTAGAGGCCGTTTCAATGATCCACAGTCAGATGAAGTGGCAATACTAATTGTTGCCCGAGAATTTACTGAAAGAGACATTATACTTCGAGCAAAATACGATACCCTATCCAACGATGCTCTCCAATACCCATTGTTTTGTCGTGGAGTGTGGAGAAGATGAATATTGTATCAACATTCCACAAATCGATACAATTACAAGTGAGATTTTCTAGGTGAAAAATGTTTCTGCAATGATTTTTTTTACGCATATACGCATACAGACTAATGAGTAGAAGTAATTCTAGCAACGTTTTGCTAAAATATCGAGTTTTTGCAAATTTGTAAACTAACGGGAATTTCCCACTGGGAGTTTTGAACATGATTAGCCTGCAGGTATCAAATGATGAATTAAACACACATTTTGAAACATACGGAGTTGGTATTTTTGACGGGTAACGAAATGCACGGGGATCAGCTAGTAATTATATATAAGAGTATGACACATGTTAATGTACTAATATAATAAGTAGAAGTATCGAAATATGCCATATAATATGCAGTAAAAATCATGAAAATATTTTTAAAAATATACAAACATTTTTATTTATTTAAAATGCACAGTAAAACTTATAATAATTAATTATTTAAATACTTAATAAAAAAAAATTTAGGGAATTTTCTGAAAACCTTAATTTATTTCTAAAATTTTATTTATTATTAAAATGAATAATCATATGCGTTTCAAGTTTTTTTTTCTGTGAAGCTGTGTCGTTTATCGGCTAACATATTTTTAAAGACTGAGAACGAACGTTTGACGTCAACCGAAGTTATTGGGGCATATTTGAAGCAACTTAGTATTGTCTAATCTCGATAAAGATCTTCGAGCTGAACGTTTTCGCCTAATAACACTGAATTAATTTTTCGTAGAATCTTCAGACCTTCATTTTTGTTGAAAAGCTCGTTTAATTTTGTAGTAAGTGTTGCACCTTTYGATCCAGGAATARAATGAATTTTTAATCGTAATCGATTATTTATCTTATAAAGGTTTAAATAAATATATATATATATAAATTATTTTTTAGTGACTATGAATTTAGTTTTAATTTTTCTACTTGACAAAATATTATTTTATACATTTTTTAAATTTTCGCTTCAATATGCAATAAATTTTGAATTTTGYCAAAATATACAAAAATATGCAATAACCTTTAAATATACAGAAATATGCAAAAAAAAATTTCACCATTAGCTTCAAATTATGATGATTCGTGGACATAACTGACAACAATCCAAAAATATTAAAAGGAAAAAAATATGCAATTGCATAGAAATCCGCACTCTAAATTAATAAGTAACAAAAAATAAAGACAATACTTTAATTTATTTATTATAAATATTATACTAAAAAACATTTCTAGGTGCACAGTACACGTGTATTCCCTTCGAAAGTTCTATCATACCATAAACTTTTACATTCACCACGGTTTGTAATTCGTCGAATTATGGATTTGATTGTTTTTCGATTCAAAGGTTTGATCACCGTGTGACTGGGGAGTCATAATCTCATGTAAAACTTAAATTTTTCGAATTTTTCATTTGTTATTAAACCTATGTCAATCTAGAAATCGAGAAAGTAAAAAAAAAGTCGCTCGTACGAAAATATAATAGGTATATTGAATACGTACCTATATAGATGGCGGCTGGGGAGGTTTAACCGCTTTCCTAACTGTTACAAATTAATTGCGAACTCGATGCGTGCAACTAAATTAAATTCGCTCGTTACATTCTCAAATATTATTATTATATTATAAATTATAATAGGTGTACCTCGTAYATATATATATATTATATAAGCTGGCACTATTGACGTTTTGTCAGTTATATATTTTATAGTATTTATTACGAAAAAAATACGGAATTATTTATTTTTTCCTTCATTTGCTGCAGGCCAACACGATCGTACCCAATACATATATTATATATATATATATATATACTTAATAGCCAGGCATGTTGATATACATATACACAGACATATTTATGTTATATTCGTGTGAGTCTAAGCATCTCGTTTATATATACCGTATATTATATACTGCACCATAATATAATCTTTCTAAAACATTTCTCATCACCCACGCCATGACTTTTGACCGAAAAGTATGTATACACAATATACATATACACACACACACACACACATACACATAACAAAGAGTATCTTTCTCTCTCTCTCTCTCTCCCTCTCTCTCTTTCTATATATAATATATATTATATATATTATATTTCGCATTTTGTATACAGTCTCGGAAATGCAGTAACGTCACAGTCTTAATAATCCGATGTGAGGTTCTGTTTTTGTTTCGTTGTACCCTCCGGATAACTTGATCCGGAGTGGGTTTGTGTGTGTGCGTGTACAATTGTATATATAGACTTTCCTTCTCTATATTTCTTTGTGTATAGTCGTCGTCATCTTTTTCATACCAATAACGATGTAAAGCCATTGGCGTAGCCTACAGCCGTTAATACGAACTACAATATATATATATATATATATATATATATAGTATATACACACACACATTACGTGCGTTAGTATTGCAGACACGCGAAAGTCATCCGCAGAGATTACACTAACTATCCATTAACAAAAATAACAATAATAATAATAATAATAATAACAATTATAATTATATCAATAATAATCACTTTCACATGAAACATTACAGCAAAAATAAACGTTTTATAAATTTTAAATTCAATATAATATGATCATTATATGGTTAGTCTTTTAATAAATTTTACCAGTCTCCGGTCTCGATTAGTAGTAAGTTATCACATATGATATTATAAACTATTGCTACGAATATTAGAGCCTTAGAAGGTTCAATATAAATGTAGATAAAATTCGGTACCTATATTAAATCATCYTGGTACGTTTCTAATAGAAGTTAGTAGTTTAGTACATCCATATGACTATGAAAGTATGAACCTATATCTAATACCAATTTTTATTTTATATAATATATTTGTATGCCTAAAAGAAGTACTACATAGGTAATAAATCGGTAAAATCTACCTAACCTAAGCAGTCCCTATAGTACTTCCTACTGATTAGATTACTGGAATACAAAAGTATAACGGTATCAATAATGAAAGGTCAGATGTTAAATACAGTTATACAAGTTCTACCATAACCATATCACATTTTTTGTTTCTTTTAAATCTACTTGGAAACAATTTTCGGGTTTTCAAACGAACACACATCACGGGAAATACATTTTTTTTAAATTATAATAAATTACTCTAGAACAGGGGCCACAAAAATTTTCGTAGTAAAGAGCCATTTTTTTAAAAAGTCGCTGAACCATGATGTCCAGAAAACTTCAAAGTTTGTTTGGTCCAGGTATTAAACAATATTTTTTGTTTGTAGTCGTAGTTGTAGTACTACAAGGTTAGGTTGCAGGTTTTAATTCTTGAACCAACAGCACCTTATATTGGTGAAAGTTTATGTCACTGTGTAAAATCCAACGTAGACTTCTACTGGATAAATTTAACGATAACGCATGTTTTCGCGCAGAACGTCTTGGGCTCTTTATGACAGCGGCCTTGACAGCAGCGATGTTTTCAGTTGTGCGAATGGCTTTTTTTCGTGCAGGCTTCTTTTTTATGCTGAACCCAGTGAACCCGTTTCTTCAAAGTTGGTTACCCATATTTTAATAGCCTTAGCCGATGGTACAGAATCATGTCGTTTAAGATTAGAATGAAGACGAAATGAACGCTGCGTGGCTACGTAACTGTCATTATTTTTGTAAAACGATTTTATCGCATAAGCACATTGTTCGCCACTCCACTGTTCCGTGTTTACTAAATGGCATATTTTCTTTGAACTAATAATATACTATTTAGTGAGAATATTCTTATCTTAATTACAACTGAGCAAATATATTATTAAAATCGGCCGTTTCAGTGCCCCACCCTGTACTTTGCCATTTTTGTTAGTAAAATTTATATTTAAGGGTCTCGATATATTGATGCGTTTTACAAAGGATCATAGATTACCTACATGTTAAAAAGTCACATGTGCTGCTACGGAGTTGCAGGTTCCCGAAGAAACACCATTCATGTTTGGGACTACTTATTAATTAATAATTAACCAAAGAGGATTTTAAAATCAGTGTCAAATTGAGAACAAAACCAATGATCTCTTTAATATTATAATATTCAGCAGAGTAAAATATTTTAGTCTAGGCATATGACAATAAATCATAATTAATTTATAAAATCGTTGCAAAAAAAAATATTATTTTAGTAATATTTTCAAAATATGATAGATAATACCTATGTCGATATTTAATTTATATTAATGAAATGTAATATTTTATAACGGTTATAAATAAAATAGAATCGTTCAAAAAAAATAATTAAAAAATCATAAATATCCAAGCCCTATACGATAAAATATTTAAATATCAGTACCTAATAATTAATATCACTATATTATTATTTTATACTACACGTTATAAYTTCTTAAATTTCTATCTTCATGTCTTTTATGAAATATATATATAGATAAACTTTATGTATATATTCATGTCTATATATTATTATGTGCCTTTATTATATTATTGTATTATAATTAATATAATATGCATTTTCAAAAAAACAATGATAGGTATACAYTAAAACACTACAGCAATTTAAGTGTGAACGAAATAATGTGAAAATGTAAAACGCGGCATATGTAATGTATACTACTCCGGTCATCCTTGCGTCACGGCCGTGTCCATGTGCACGAGGTAGGTACTTTAATGTTTATTTTAATACATAAAAAAAATGCTCATCGGCATAAAATCGATAAACACAAAACTTCAAAAATTTGGAGACTATAAAAAACCCAAACTATTAAAACGTAAACAAACGGTATTTGCTTAAATCAGCTGTAGTAAATACACGATGATGCAAATTTTAATTTTACCGTAAAAACAAATACTGCAGTGAACGTTTAAATACTACCGAGGTGTTGTTGTATAATTATTTGAATAMATGCCACGGCCTCGCAGAAAAACTATGTTATAATAAAAATTTTTGAAATGTTGGAATGAAAAACCAAACCAAATGGTGATAGGCACATTCATTTGAATCTCAAAATAGTAAGTACTTGATCTTAGATTAACCTWGTTTCAGTTTGTCGGTTGAAGTGTTTTTTGTCTCTCAAAAAAGTTCCAATAGGGACAAAAAAAATTATAAGTTGCAGAACTAATCTATTAATATTGTATGGGTAACTTAAGCCTAATTGAAATTCAACAATACCAAATGTAAGCTACCACAAAACTGTTAGCAATTAGTGAAAAACTATGTGTTGTGACCAAAAGTTTTATGGACGAAACATTGCAATAAATAATAAATAAAATAACAAATTATTAAAATTACGTTTATAATTTATTTATAATTTCGTGGAAAAGCTTCCTAGTAAGCATAGAAGAGTGTGGTAATTTGACGAGTTTGGGGTAAGATGTCAAACTGAATATATTTAATACAAAATTATTATGATATCAATCTATATAGRCAACTAATTGATTGCATGTATGATGTTAGAAAAAATTTATTTTTCAATTCCGATGGTTCTTTTGATATTTATTCGATGAAACCACATATTATTAAAATATTTTAATTTATTTAGTATAAGAAGTTCTGAAATACAAGATGATAGAAGTATGTTGAAAAATTAGAAATACCAAAAATATTTTTAATTAAAAATAATAWTTATTAATTTCTGTGAGACGTGAGTAATATTTGAATTATATTATAATATTTTTAGACTTTTAGTATAAACACAATTTATAAACCTAACTTATAATTATTTAATATTATTTACTAATACGGCTATTCTATCTATATTTTATAGATTAATTATTTATGGTATAATATAAACAAGTAATCTTACCCCTGGGTTAAGTCACTTAGGTAGATACCATTTACAACAGGTTTGGGTCGAGATTTCGAGATTAGAATTTTTTTGTTGGAAAATTGATAACGATAAGTATTAAAACTTTTAACATAAAGTCTTGAAATGTTTAGCTTTGATAATACTCGAACCTCTTTAAGTTGAATTTCAGATAACTTGAAGGAATGCCTTGGCCMCTGCCTTACAATATTTGATATGTGTGATGAACTTTCTCGATAATTCGAATATAGCTAACTTGAATTTCTCGACAATTCTAAGTAATTTTAGTTAGATTTTGGCTTATAGCTAGAATTTTTGTTCGACATACATTACCGAATCAAACAACAAATATCTGATTTCTTCCAAAAATAATGTTAATTTATTAATTATATTGTATGTATTTTCTTTATTACATATACAATTTACATACATATTTATTAATTATAAAATCAAGTTAAAAAAAAAATTTCAATAACTTGAATTTTTTTGACCACAACCTATTTGAGTTATTGATGTTTCACTGCAGTATTACCAATTATTCTTGATAATTCATAATACTTGTATTAAATTCAAGATCTTTTGTCTATTGTTTAATAATAAAAGTATCACTAAAATCTTAAGTCCTTCAAATTACCACATTCTTCTATAAACTATACACGTTACTAAACCCTAATCGTATAACTCTTAGCGATAAATCATTAAATAATCTTTATTCTTTAGTATAAATAGTATGATTCCTTTGAACTTTGAAGACATTGACTTTAGATTGAGTTAACGCATTATGATTTAATTGATTTACTATAACTATAGGTTTAATAATAGTTAAAAATAATAAAAATTCACATGTGAAGGTATAATAAAACGCATACAACTTTAAATAATTCCCTTATAATTATTTATAGAATATTCTTTTTTTCAACTTAAAAATGTATTAAATTAGTTTTTGAATACCTCTAATTAATTAAATTATTTTCCTTGACGTTAAACTTTTGTGTTGTGTCGAATTATTGCTGAATAAACCATTGTTGGTTTTAATTAAAAATTAATGTGCTCTGACGAATAAAAGTTGTAAGAATGCATAATGTACTTACCAATTAGTCTTAATATATTACTAAAGATAAATAAATTAGTTGACACCAAACATTTGCAGTGTTTTATGTTTTCATTTATATGTATTAGATTACCCACATCGTATTATATAACTAGATAAATGCTATTCTATTATAATTTATACAATATAATGAATGAACGAATTTCATTAGAAAATATAAGGGGGGTTATATATTTTATTCGACTTACTGCATTATGCCAAAAGAATCATTGAATTTATTTTTGTTGATTGTGTTCATTTTTCCTTCACTCTTGTTCGAACACATAGATGTTCTTCTGCTTCTCGAATGGTCGGGGTCGGCCTCTTCTAATATTTCGGGTAAGAACATCATATGTTGGTCTTCAGGAACACTAAAAATAAATCATAGATAATATAGGTGCATGGCTAAAATATAATATATTAAAAAATAACTGTTGTAGTGAAATTATTACGGCATGTGGTGAACTGATCCTCTGTGTGATTTTTTTTTAAATGGTGCAGATGCGCTCGTGTACGGAATTGATACTTCCAACTCGTTGAAATAGATATCTTTGACCAAAGGAATTTTAATTTTAGCGAGATAATCTACAGCTAAATAGGATGCCTACGGAACATAATTCATTATGGTTATGATATATCACTTTTGTTATAATTAATAATAAACATAGCTTAGATATCGATATGTTGTTATCGTTTTTCTGTTAATTTACCTTTGTGTGTCTATCRATTAAGTAATTTAATTCAAAATCTTCTTCGTCGTCACCAAATGGATTTATTAATTGTTCAGCTACCTGTAGGAAGAAATATTGTGATACATATTTATATGTAGCCGTTTAATAATTGATTATACGTTTTGATGTTAAATAATTTAATATAGGAACTGCAATGTTAAGAGTTTTTAAGAATAAAGTAATACACTTATTTTTAATAAATATTTAGCTTAAATTTTCAACGGTCAATAATTCCATATTACTATACATTCAATTGAGAAAAAGTTAAAGTTACGTACTGTATGATGTGCATTTTATTAAGAATAACAACTTATCTGCTTAATATTGTAAACTTTATTGTAGTTTGATGTTGTTAAAAAAAASACCAGCTATTATGTAATGTTATTTAATTAAATATTTGCTTTATACAGTAGAAAGGGAAGCAAGTTAAATATGTTAGTTTAATAAATACTTCTATATAGTCAAATAAGATTATTTCAACAAATTTAAAAGTATAATTTTGTATGTTGTTTATATTATTAAATATTAGCTTAAAATATTCTTAAAGATAAATAGGYAAACTTAGTTATTCAAAATATAAGTATATCATACATGTTAAAATAATATYTGACGAGGTGCAACATTTTATTAGTGAATAGTGACGAATGTAAAACACACGCATAGTACATAACTCATAGATTTGAGATGCTCATAGGTAGCATAATTTACTTTACCTAAGATACAATTTGCTATATTAATTGATATAAAAATAATTAATCAAGAAATTCTTGTCTAAAAAAATAACGATAGACTTATTTATATTAGTAGATATATTTATATAGTAGTATTATACAATATTTAGTAGGTTGTATTGAAATTAGTGCTATTTCCTTTAAAATTTTAATATTTTATTGTATTCAGACAATTTTTTGTCAATGTTAATAGAGTATTTTTAAATTAACTAATCTTCCTAAGAAAAATAATAACTACAGATCTGTAAAATRTAAAAACACATCTACATAATAATAACAAAGCAGTACTTCTCCTCACTATAAAATTATTCAATAACGCATGTGTTAAATTTTTTTAACGATGGTAAAACAACACGCAAAAGCGTAACCTTCCCTGTTAAGGGATTTAYTTTTTTATTAAAATATTATGTTATTTTAGTAACACTAGTACGATAAATTATTTTTTTAAATTGTTAGGTATACATTTAAAATATTGAACTTTATGATAAAATTATAATTACGGAACTATGTACCTTTAAAAGTCCCATGAAGAACAAAAACTGAACGATTGTAAACACTGGTATGTATACGTCAAGTTCTGTTTGCAGCATTTTGTTTGATCCTTCTACGTATTGCCTCCCGACAACAGCAGTGATGAAAAATGAATACGTTGCAATTGTAACGACCTTAAAGAATTATAATTTTTTATTTTTTATTTAAGTACTAACTAGAAAAATTATGATATTATTATCATTGTTACCTGCGTGTACGCTAGCGGTATACTAATCCAATCGTAACTCCACAAATAACCKCATTTTGATCTGAAGTCGATAAATTCCTAAAATTAATAATATCGTAAAAGAATATGATTTGTCATTTGATTTTATTGAATATTCAATCTTAATTTAACACATTGTCGATACAATTTTGCAACGTTTGTAGATAACAATGAACTAATTAAACTTAAACATTATAATATATTATAAAGAAAAGTATGTTTTAGATAAAACAAATATTGTTGTTTTAATTTTAATATCAATTTATAGTATCATTCGTTACACAACTGATTTTTTTTATGTTTTATTCAATTTGTTGCAAATAATAACAATAAGAACAAATGAGGAAGTAATAGATAGTAATACAAATAAATAAATACACAAATATATACAGATAACAGAGCGTAGAAGCCTCCCAGTGGATGTACTATGACAAAAAAACATKAGTATTAAAATTGAATTAGTTTGTCAGTAAGTTTCTATATCATTTGCGCTTGAGCCGTTTGKGAGAATTTCCAGAGATAATCCAGGAAGATGAGATATCGTGCATGAGTGGGTTTCTGTGGTTAAAAAGGCGGTCATGGAATCTTTTGTAGTTTGTTTTAGCCATGYCTGCAACAAAGGAGTATAGAGAGGTCGTGAACTCGTGATGGAGTGTGTGATTGGAACGTAATATGGTGCTTTAGTGATCTTAGAGTTTTGGATTAATGGGTTTGTATTCCATTGATGTTAGTAGATTTTTCTGATCTCCAGAGCTGGTATWCTATAGACCCATATTGGTTCGAGTAGCATTTTGTATATATAAGGAGATTGTTACCTAGATAAATATATTTAGAGGTCAGAGGTGTCCCAGCTGGCGGATACGATCATTGAGTGTTAAACTTTTGGAGCGTATATGAGAAACCCACGTGAGCCGGCGGTCTAGGGTTAGTCCAAGATATTTGACGTTTTGAGAGTAGGGTAGAGATTGATTATTGAGGAATAGTTGTAGACAGTGTCTCTGGCGTCACAACTGACATAAACTTATATTTTCTTAAAGTTGTAACATTTATAGAAACGTATAAAGTAATTTAAATTATGCTTTGTAAATATCAAGAAAATTACTCATACTAAATTAGGTTATTTTTGTCAAGTGACATAATCATAAATACGTAGTATTACAATAAAAATAGTAGATAAGAATTAGATGCAACAAATTTACGTTTACAATATAAGACCGTATTTTATTCAAAATCACCATTCGACCGCGATAGACCCTTAATGTTGTTATGTTGTCATGAAGTACGAAAATATTGATTTTGGTTCTATTAAGTTGTACAAAAGTTGTGTAAATGAAATTTAAAATTCAATATGTTTATTTCGGTTYGGTATGCTAGGAAATCGTTTAAATAGTTGTTGCATAATATGTAAAACGATTTTTCAGTGTTTGGGTTCGAGTACAAAATCTGATTTTCGTTAGGTTTCAAAATAAAGTACATAAGTACATAATACTGTGCAAATTGCGAAGCGAGCTTAAATAATTTATGTTATTCCATATTTTGCAATTTTATTGCATAAAAGCAATATGTWTTCTTAAAATATGAAGTATGACCTCAGTATGGTTTATCCAAAATGATTATTTACAGGCAAGCGATGATAATTAAGTCTATAATACCATTTAAAATTCTAAATCTATTTTTACTATTCATTTATAAATAGAATAATCAGTGGGGTTTTCGTAAAAAAGTATTAGGATATAGGCTAGTTTATGAATTTTAGTGAAAGATGTAAATATACAGTGATGAATATTGTAATTTTATAAGCGCACAACGAATCAGGTCCAATTCTTCAAAAATTTGCTCACTTTGCTCGTGTACCTACAATTATTTTATAAAGAGCTTACGGAATACATTCACTAATTCACAAACTTTACAGAAATAAATTATTTGTTACTCAATTTTGTACATTTGTATTTATTTACCCTTAGGTAATAGTTGTGAATACTTATATTCACAACTATTGTCACACATAAGATTTGATATTTTATAACATTTAACTTAATTCCGTTGGCAGTTATTATTATTATTTATATAATTCTTATCTGTGATGGATGCAAATCAAACATATTTTTATTAGAAAACTGCAATAAACGACGGTCGTTGGTCACGAACGGTGATCAACTATTCCAATACGTTATATAACATTTATGTGTAGARATAACCAATTTTAATTATTTGTTAAAAAGCGCTTGTGTGGAGATCTAGGATCTATCACCAATATTCCCTCCTATATACGACCCTGACAGAAAATTGTATTATAAAAAAAATCAAAAAATGTATAAGCATTTAATTTATAAATTCATTAAAATATATTATACCTACCTTAAGGGTAGTAGAAAATTGTCCCGCTGTATAGTCACTACATTATTACATTGTATACTAACAACTGTTATTGTGTTTTAGATAAATACACATTTGTGCCTCTAAAATATTAAAAAGAATACAATACACAACTGGCATGGCATGCACTTTAATTTTCTTTAGTATTTAAATCAATAATGATAACGTGAAATCACAAACGCAATATTTTATGTAAATATAGGTACTAGGCAGAAATTGATGATGTAAAGATGTTGAGCAAGTTTCTGTTTATTTTTTATATTATAGATTCAATTTTTTTTCCAATATATTTTCTGGTCGGAAGAAGATGGTTATTTGCTTGACAGTTTTTGAAGGGTATTAAACTCAAAATGAAAGAGAAGTTTTTGAATTTACGTTTGCAATAGTTCTGTTCATAGTTAAACATATTAAGTATCGGGAAACATTCAAACACTCGTATTTTTTTTATTATAAACCGGGGTACAAAAAAATAAAAATACTGCGTATAAACGAATGTTAATAATTTTTTTTTTTTTTTGAATATTGCTGTAGGTACACGATACACGCGATATTATCGAAATAAAGACTAAAAAATGATGTTAGAAACAGTTGATAACTCCATCATAAGGCACTGAATTAGTTTATTAAAAATGTTTTTTTTTATAATTTCAAACTGAAATAATATAAATTCATGGGTTTTTAGATTATAAATGCAGGATGTAGGTATGATCTATTTTCCTATAGTTAGATTGTWTTAAGGGAATATATTAGGTTTATTATTTTWAAAGTCGAAGGTTAACAATTTAGCTGCAGATTAAAGTTCACAGTCTACAGTACGGGGTTGTTTACACATTTTAAATGGGTTTGATTTCAATACAATGTAAGTTAACCCGAAATTTCCTAGAAAACTAGAAAAGAAATTGTATCAAACTCGTTTTTTAATTTCAATAGAACTAAATTCAGTTCATATTAGAAGTAGTGTCAATGGAMGCTCCCCTTCCATCAAACCGTCCAACCTAGTTAAAATATCAACACAATTTATAATTGTATTATATTTGTATACAGGTTGTAAATTTTTTTTCTACTTGAATAAAAAAAGAAGAGAATCCAAACATGGTCAGAAAAAATAAAATACGTTAAAATAAGTGTAGTGCGTCAATAAATATTGCTAATATTTGATAAATAATAGTATAAATACATGGAATGTTATAAAACAAACGTCTGTGTACATAATATCGTGATACAGCACAATTTATTACCTGCATTATGAGTTTGACTCCTTCGGAATCTTCAATTCGCTTAGATTTTCTAGCCTCCTTCAACAGACTTACGAACCAAGTGCAAGGTACCCAATAAGTATTAAACTCCACCTTGGGGAGTGAATAAAATACTTCTATCTCGTCAGCGGTCATGTAGCCTGTACATATTTATTAAAATCAATAACGATTACCAATGTCTAATATTATATACTACGATATTCATATCATATTATCCATACCATATTTGCGGTATGGATCGATGAATTATGAAGTAATAACTTGCCTGACTCAGCGACGTGCTCTAATGTTGGAAAACGTTTTTTCACCGATGAACTTATAGAACGCAATACCAAAATCAATGTCAAAATCAAATATCTCATTAGCGATCTTCGAATCATACAACCGTAATCGTCATTGCCTTCTACATACATCGATATAACATGCATTGCTCTTATGAAAAAATAAAAACAAAACACGTTTTAATTTATAACACGGTACCTAGTGAGGATAATGGAGGACTATGCTACATACCTGTCAGGCCATGGAATCGCCAAGTATTGGTTCCACCATCTTTTGGCCACATAAGTCACATAAAATCCTAAGATGAAGGATAATGGTAAYTGACTAATAAAGGCATCACAGTATCGAACTATTTTTTCAAATATTCTGGAACATAATTAATATAGTTGTCAGTGAAGTATACATTATTATAATATTATTAATAAYAATGAAATGATATTATTATTTWGACTTTATTTCATATTATTCAAATATGTTTATTATTGTGATAAAAGCACGAAAAACTATAGGTAGTTTTCTTTAATAAAATCTAGAAATAATAAATTATTTAATCTCTGTCTACAATATCCTTAATTTTAAAATTCAAATTAAAAATAGTTTGGAAAAATAAATATATTTCACAGAATGTAATAGATTATAAAAATTCATTGACGGTATGGTTATCAACATATTATATTCAAGTTTAATTAACTATATATAATGTGCAAATAGTTTTGATAGGTCTAAATATTCAAAATTAGTTGWAAATTGGCATTTAAGGCCATAACTATACGACGTTTTAATGATTTATTTGTGTTACCAATATGTCGGGTGATTTCAGTTGGAGACCGATTTAAAAGAATTTCAATTTTCCATTAAAATATTATGTAAAATGTAAATAATATAGTTTTCAAGTATAATTTAGCTTTTATTTTACAAAAGAATAGCTATTAATATTTACAGAAAATATTCATAAACAAAGGGATAGGAAGATAACAGTGAATAATTTATGTTGATAAAYCTATTTGAGGATTTTGTAAGGATGGAAGGGACAGAGGAGGAAWTTTTTTTAAAGAAGAACATCATGATGTGGAGACATACTCGTATTACATAATGTACATATACATATTCGTGAATTAGTTATTAATGTTATTATAAATATGACCTTTGTGGCAGTTCACTGCAATTGAATAAAAGGAATTTAAGTGCACGAATTATGGCTTAGCAGTCAGCATTCGTTAGCGAAGCATATAGATACATGGCTGATTTAAGTAAAACAGTATAAATATGACGGTGAGAATAAAATAAAGTAACTTTAAATTTACCTACTTTTCGAAAGAAAAAAACATTTATCTATAAACTACATATATATTACGAGGAAAAAAATGCGAAAAATATTTGAATAGATACATTTAAGATTTACATTCATTAGGTGTAATCATTAATTTTAAATGAATATCAAAATTAATTCATTGGAAATATAATATGTAACGTTAACGTAATATATATTACGACTATACCTAAATATCAGAATCGTGTCATTTCGATGATTGGTTTAAATACAATGTAATATTGTAAATTTCTTTTGGAAGAGTTACTTAAAATCATAGTCAAATATAATTACATCATACGAATTACTTCTTAAGTCTAAAGTTGTAAAYTCTGTCAAAATAAAATATTGTCCTTACACGAATTATATGTACGTACACGCGTCCTATTATTATATAATAATATATGATTTGTGCACGCACGTGTGTTGTATTGTCAGAGTCACGCGGACACGTTAATGAATAGTCAGCAAACACAATGTATAATTATAATATATTATATAATGTATACAATGCAAAATGGAAAACGAGAATTACGACGTGCCGAGAAAATTTGATTAATAATAATAATTATTAATATTAGATACTACGTGCGGTCATTCTTTATGATATATGTAGTAATAACAATAATATTTATTACTCGCAATCGCGGCTTGAGTGCGTTTTCTGCCAAGTGCCAAGGGTTCAATGGAGGATCTGACCATGAGACTTGTTTTTTTTCCGTTCAAATAGTATTACTAATAATATAATGTAGGTACATAGTAGGTATAACCTCTTCCCGCTTAGAGGCAACAAATGGTGCCATGTATATTTATTTTTATTGAAAATCAACATAATATATTTATTCAATTAMCTACATACTCGACATGAGCTTTGATGAATCATAATTTTTGTTTTTCCTTAAGCGGGACGCTTCAATTGGTAAATAAAAAAAAAACTTTACCACAAGACTTCTTCCATTAAGTCATGGACTGACTGGCGACCACTTGGGATTTATTATAATGCGAGCTGACTGTTATATAATATAAATACTAATATAATATTCTATATTATCTGTTTTGTAAAAGTTTTTTGGTACAGTCTTCACAATAAAAATTACCAACCCTTTAAATTTCATGAAATCTAGGGATTCCA